ATAAATTAACATAACAATAATTTCAAAGAATACCATGTACACAGTGTTCTGTTTCAACTTTAAAAACATCTATTTACTCTAGCACTAGCACTAATCAACAAAAATAAACTAAAATAAATTTCAAACAATAAAAAAAAAACAATAATGACAGAAATTCGTACTAAAAACAATGAATAACATTCTACAAAATAAAGAACAAGAATAAAAAAATGCCCTTACCATGAATGAATGTTTTTCGAACAGCAGAAATACCAATTTCATGCGCATAATGCTTATGCCACTATGGTATTTATTATGACAGCCTACACACTATCCAGAAAATTCATACTGTGGTTCAAAAAAGTTCAAAACCTCTTTTCCTAATTCTTGTAAGATTCCCCATCCGAACAAATAGTTGTACAAGGCTCAATCCATTCTTTAATATACTGCATCAGAGTTTCCTTACTTTATCATGCACAGCTCTAAAATAAGCTCCCAGACCTCTTGCAAACACGTCTCTCATTGCAACATAGGCCATTTCAAAACATGCACTACACGAACCAACGAGCAATTAAAACACTCCAGCAAAAGAGTATTCAACATCAAAAGGGTTGCCATACAATAGGAAATCGCGCCAAAAACCAGTGCAGAACACATATTGCCACATTTGGTGATCTTAGGACGCATATAAGAATAGAGCTCTTTTTTTTTTATTAAACTTACTTGATTCGTTCTTCTAGAATTCCAAATTTAGGTTCATTCATTACAAATAAAATTCGCCTATTTTTTGATTTATTTTTTAAATTTGTATTTTTATAAATTTTTCAAAAAAATTTTGAATTACAACCTATTAAATTTTTACCACCATCTTAAAATAGATGTATTCTTAAGCATAACTACCAAAAATTAGAGCTTTTTATTCAAAATTTCCTAAGATATAGGTGAATTTACATATTGACACATTTTGAAATTTGGTATATTTATTATAAGGTATAAAAGCGCTAAATGTGGTTTACTCACTTTGTCAAAATTATTTGAAATAATGAACGATGACTTTTTTGAACTTGTTTACAATTAAAAAAAGGAAAGGAAAATAGGATGCTATAAGTTAATAAGTTCAAGTGAATTACTCTTGGTGCAAACCGAAAAAAAATACACCAAGGTAAATTTTTAATATCTCTGTAAATTTTGCACCAAATTTTACAAAATTTAATATTTAGGCATTTTAATTGTAGAATCAAAATATGAAAAAAAATTGGCATGTCATTTCAAAAAAAGTCCGATTTTGTGTCAAAATACCTATGTTAAAAATACTGCTATATATAAATCTAATATATATCCTAACTCACACTTTTGAGACATGAAAAATGCAATTTGAATTTTGTCAATCATCTCAGTTGAATGGAGATATAGAACTGTCTTTGTGTGTGTGTTTGCCATGTACCTACTTGTATGACTTATGTTGTAAATAGCTATAGTGTGAAATTTTAATTTTCTTTTTACCTGAGTGAAATGTAATCTATTCTAATGGATTAATAATATTTGTGTTTCTCTTTTATCAATAAATGATTTTTATCATGTTTTGAATTTATGTTGTAATAATTTTTCTGTGTGAATTATGAGGAGTAATAGAGGGGCATCTTAAATTGCTACACATATTAAGTTAAACTAGTGATTGTGACATAGGTTCTTCATCTTCAGAAGCAAAACAAAATTTGGCTTAGTTATTTTTTGTTCCTGGGAAAAAAGGGCGTACCAGTTCAAAAGTGATATATTTTTGTGTAACATGTTTCTCTTTTATCAATAAATGATTTTTATCATGTTTTGAATTTATGTTGTAATAATTTTTCTTTGCGAATTATGAGGAATAATAGAAGGGCATCTTAAATTGGTATACATTTTAAGTAAAATTAGTGATTGTGACAGGTTCTTCATCTTCAGAAGCAAAATAAAAATTGGCTTATTTTTTGTTCCTTGGAAAGAAGGGCTTACCAGTTCAAAAGTGATATATTTTTGTGTAACATCTGTGCTAGGTTTTTGCCTAATTTTCCACTGGTTTGTATATCTTGCATATAATTTTTTTTGTATATTTTATTTCTCTAGGTCTTTGGGATATTTGTGCCTTCCATCTTATTATACAGAGAATTTTCCTGAAGCATTAAATAGGTTACGGAATGGGAATTTTAGGTATGCATTTTAGTAATTTGAGAGAACTGTATAAAGATTAAATTCTTACATGTGTTGTCTAAAATTTTGTATCAAAAAAATTTATTTTTTCTTTGAGGAACTGACCATTAAGTTCTTAACTATATTTACTGCTTATGTTCTATGACTGGATCATTCCAGTTTTCTGGAATTTAAATGTACAAGCCTTTACTTAATCTTTATTTAATATATTAAGGTATTTTTATAAGCTACTGTAATTTATTTTTCATCTCTTTTGCATGTACAGTTCTAAATTATGTTGAAATTTTAAACTTTTATAAATATTAACAATAAAATACAATTTATAATTGTAATTGTTATTATTAAATCTTAAGTCATTTTTCCGGAAAATATTTTGGTACTTTTCTGTTAACAAGCACTATTTAGCACCAAACACTGTAATGATATCTAACTAGATGGTGGAAACCCTAACAATACATAAAAAGAATAATTATTTTATATATGTAATGAATGTAATATGTAATGTTTAATGTGTGCAATGCCAAATTTGTGCAATTTTCTGATGTTTTTGCTTAAAAAATATTGGAGAAATGCATAAATTCAGCATAGTACATTTAACATTATATGTGTACATTCATTGCACAGCTATTCATGACGATAATGCTAAAAGGTATTTCCTCCTCCTTTCTGCATCTCTTTGTGGTGCAATTTGAAGCATACTTGGCATGTATTCGAGAGGTCCAGGTTCGAGTCTTCATGAGGGCATTGCTCATTTTTCATGTCTTCTGCTCCATAATAACCAAATGACTCTACAACATAAATAGGCTACCACATTTGGTGATTGGTGAAAGTATTGATATTTTTTTATATTTTTGCACTCAAAATTTAGGAACGATTATTTTACTTGAGAATAAAATGTACCATGTTTGTCACTAATTGAAAAAATTCCACTATTGGTAATTTGCTATTACCAGTAGTGGAATTTAATAATTAATGAAGCTATTAATTTTTTTATTTTAAAATATTTGTTTTGTTTATTAGTGCAGGTGATATTTTCATAACTTGATTTTGAGAATAATTTTAGGAAATGTATATTACTGTTAAAACATTTTATTTTTCTAATGTATTATTACATTGAATTAATTACAGAAAATTCAATGTTTTCTTTATGTTTGTCATTGTAAAACATGTTTATATAAAGGAAAAATTGTTATAAATTTTAATGTATGGTTCATGCATTCCAAGATTCATGTACAAATATTATTGTTTGCATAAACTAACATATATGTTGTTATGTAGGTGGATGTATCGGCAAAGAATCAGAGTTACGTTAACTGGTGAGCATGCATTTGACCCACCAGTAGAGTTGCATGATCAGCAATTACAGTATCCTGAATATCGCTTTCTAGATTGTGTAGAAGGGCACCATAAAACAAACTCTCCGAAAGTGCCTAAACTGGAACCAAAAATTAAGCATGAATTACCTGTTAGAGCTTTAAATGAAGTTTTTATTGGAGAATCTTTATCTTCAAGGTAAGAAGATTTGGGTATTTATTTTTTTGTAACAGCCTTGGCAACAGAAAATGGCATTGGCATAGTTTGGGATTAAGCAAGCATGATTTGTTGCTATATTATAAACATCCACAAAAATGAAATTAATTCAGTTTAATGAGAAATCATTATGTCATTCAATTTCTATGCAGCACGAGGTATTTAACATAAGTTTGTATTTGTTATATCATTTAATGCAATTTGTCAACAGTTTATTTTAAATAACATAATTCAACAGAAATTATTTAATTTTTCCATATTTAATACAATTATGTAAGCAGTTTACTTAAAATAATATATGTAAACATGCTGGAAAAATTCTGTTTATTATTTTACTTAATCTAATTTTGTTAGCAGTTTATTAAAGAAACATTATATTTAAACATATGAGAAAATTTAAATTTTCCTGACTCTTTCTGTAGTCACAGTTAAGCAACTGCTGTTAATAATGCCTCAAACATTAACTATAGCTTCTTTGCCATTAACGAAGCATTGGAAATATTAAGCATACTGAGTATTTTAAAATAAAAAACCTCTGTATTGACACAATGTAATTATCAAAAATCAGTTATGTTAAACGCTTTACTCTTGCACATACACAGATCAGTAACTATTTGTTTCTCGCCAAGGCTGTTGCCTGAAGACAGGTATTAAGATTTGTTCTTGAATCTGTTTTTGATCAGTTGTATATAAATTTCTAAGTTGCATAACCATTCCTCTATTTTTTTTAACATTTTGGGAATATATTTTTGTTATTACTAAAAGCTGAACTAATAATTTATGACATGGCTTATCAGATGACCACGTAGTATGATATTTTAATTGATTTGTTGAATCATTTACGAAGATTAATGTTCGTATGAGTTACTTTCTGTGACCATTTAAAGTAGCATTAAAAATTTTATGTTTGCTTGTGAATCCTTAGATACTGATGTTAGCTCATTTAAACTCTACCTAAAATCAATAAACAAAATTTACCATAAAATGATTTTTTAATATTGAAACTGCTGCAAAAAATACAAAATACGTTTAAAAATTTTGCCATCAAATATTTCATGTTAAAACAGTAGCATAAAATACCATCATTGAAGAATAGATATGATTTTACACCATCAGAAAATAAACATAGGAATTCTTCCAATTTTTCATTGCATCTTTCTCAGTAGATCTTTTTATCTCATAACTTTTAATTTTAGCCTTTGCAAAGGAAAATTGCCAAGTGAAATGTTTCCCAACAATAAATGAAAATTATTTTATTAATGAAACTTAAATTGTGCAAATTTAGTGCCATACGCTTTTAGTGATTATGATATTAGTGCCATACCCTTATAGCCATATAGTGATTTTGAACATAATTTTTCTCATTAAATAGTATTTAATCCGAGTTTTCTGAATCTACTAGTCATTTGTAGAACTTTTTCTGAAGATACAATCAGTGTTTATTTGATTAATATTTGTATTTAATTTTTTACACCACTATTCATTACATTACTATTCTGTGCAATAATATATACATTGATTATTAATTTTGTATTCACAGAGTTTTACAGTCCCTTGATTAATAAAAGCTTTCTTTCCTTAGGTTTTTCTTAAGTGTATGAAAATTACAAAATGAGATTAGCAAAAGAATTATTGAGAATATTTAATTGACTGTTAATATATTTTATATCAGAATCATGTTATGAATAGTTCAGTAAACTGAATCATACATTGTGAATTTAGGTCAGTTAGGAGTTCTTGAGCATGAAAATCTTTCATAAACTTCCAGTTTTCATACTTCAAGATTGGCTGCTGTGACGTAGTAATTTTTGTTTCGAGCAAATTGTTAAAGCACACAAAATAAACTCTTGAGTGCTAAAATTTGAAATATCAAAAATAATTTAATGCATCTTTTTAACATCTCAGTAAAATAACTGCAGTTTGGATGGAAAGATTTTTTTTAAAGAAGTCAATCATTTTGAATATTACAGTAGGAGACTTCTGGTTTTTTATAACATCTCATAGTTTTTTATTTTCAATTTTTACTAATGAAAGTGTTTTTCAGCAATAAATGAATTTTAAATTGTTCAAATTTCATTTCTCTTTTCCTAGTGATTTTCAATTTTTTTTAAATAAATTTTATTGAATCTTATTTACATTAATCTACTATGGATGTTTGTGGAACTTTATATGAAGATTCAAGTGATGTTTAATCTGTATAAATTTGTATTTAATTTTGTTTGTCATTGATATATTGTGCACTCAGGTAGTAGTATATACATTAATTATTTAATTTTCATAATGTTAAGTACTTTGGTAAATTAAAGCAATCCTTCCCTATTCAGGATTTTTTTAGCATAAAAGTGTAAGAAAAAAGCAAAGTGAAATTAGCTTAAAAATGTAAAATATGGAACATGTATTTAAATATTAATGTATTTTACAATAGAATCAACCCCTCAGGGGCTCACTTTTGTGAGTATGGGTGTGGCAATCCCAAGGTACCTTAGCCCTTCAGGAGATCATTATCTTGATGAGACGGGTGTCACGATCCTGGAACCCCAGTGATCTTTCCTTGTTTCCCTCTCCTCTGAGCTGAAAATTTATTCCTTCCCTTTTCTTCTCTTGTGGTTTTTCTCTTCGGAGGTAGGGGGCTTGTCATGAGAACTAGAACAACCCTTGTCTCTAGTTCTCAAGAGGCAAGAAAACTGCCAATGTATTTGCCATGTATGGAGACCCATGTTGCTGAAAGGAGGGTCCTGGTAGTTGAGGGGCGAGGTACTGTCCTCAACACACTGCTTTGGCCTCTGCTTCAGCTAAACAGGAGACACTTTGTCGTCCTCATGGGTGTCAATCGGCTGGTCACTAATCCTTGTGTCAGTCGCTTGGGGATAAACTCTCGAGAGTACCTGCTTTTGGGAAAGCCGAATGTGGGGGCTTCAGTTTGCGTATAGGTCTGGCTAGCCCTAACATGGTATTCTGTGTTCCCTTGTTAGACTTTGTGGTGGGCAGGGCGGTCGGACCCGAATCTTTCTATTTTAATCATGGTTTCTATGTTTCATATTAAATCAAATGAAAACAACCAAAGTATTGAGATTATTGATAAATCTCTTAGTAAGAAAATTCGTACTGATACAAATGCCAAGGAAACTACTGAGAATCCACTCTTCCTTGTTATCTCGAGTCCCTCTGGCAAACTGCAAAAGATGTCCACTTTCCTAGTAAGCAAATATATCCATTCGTACATAGGTGAGCCAAGGAACATAAAGCCTCTCTGTTCAGGAGACCTGCTTATAGAATACTGTGTCGGGTACCCACTCTGCTTAACTTTCACGACAAACCAAACTTGAACAGGTAACTATAACTATGTCAGCGCACAAAACACTTAATTCCTGTAGAGGTGGGATCTCTGAAATTGACCTTCTGTTTATTTCAGAAGAAGAGTTTGTTTCCGATCTTGCGGGTCAAAATGTTTGTGGTGCTAGGCGGATCAAGATGCGAAAGGAAGGCCATTTGATTGACACTAAACACATTATCCTGACCTGCCAAAGAATATAAAGGCTGGGTATCTTAATTGTCCCGTAAGACCTTATATTCCCAATCCCATGCGATGCTTCTAATGCCAGCACTTTGGTCACTCTAAGACATCCTGTCATGGCAACCTTATGTGCACCAGATGCTCGATGTTTGGGCATGATAAAACATTGCTGTGCCATTGTCTGTAAATTGCAAGTTTGAACACCCAGCATTTTCTCGCTCTTGTCCTAAATTAAAATTTGAAAAGGAAGTTCAGGCAACAAAAATAACTAAAAATGTATCTTATGCTGAAGCCAGGAAAATAGCAGAAAGATCACAAGTGCACCCAAATTTGTCTTTTGCCACGAGATCAGTTGCCATCCAAACATCTTTCTTTTCATCAGCAAAAAGCCAAGAGCCTCCAATTAGTAATAAGAAACAAGAAAAACTCACGTCACACAATCCAGAAAAAAGAAATAGTAACTCAAAAAAATTCAGAGATAACCTACAAAATACAGCTAATAAAAACTGAAATCTGAGCAATAGGTCAATTGAGGATTTTATCTCTGATACTCTGGACTTGGATAATATGGAAGTAGAAGAGGGAATGGAAATTCCATAACACCTCCTTCCTCGAAAGACAAAAAAGCAGCACCGGAAAAATAAATATGAAACGTAATGGCCATCCTTATTTCTTGGAATTATCGCGGTTTCCATCAACATCTTGATAACATCAAAGACTTGATGAGTTTGCATCATCCTTTGGTTTTGACACTGCAGAAAACTCTCCTAAAACCAGGAAAACAAACTAAACATTGAAGGTTTCCAATTTTTAGGAAAGGCTATCTAATAGGTGAATGTGCCAGTGGAGGTGTAAGTCTCCTTGCCTCACTAGACTACTCAAGCAGTTAACTTCCACTACAAGCCTCCAAGATGTTGCCATCCAAATAAAAGGACCTTGGTTTCATTTGTTCGGTTTATTTGCCACCAAAGGTCCACATTGATCAAAGGAATTTGGATAGTCTAATAGAGCCTTTTTAATTTGGATAGCCTGAACCTTTTGTCATAATAGGCAACTTTAACAGCCATAGTTTGCTTTAGGAGAACAAGGATACTAATCCTCAAGGTTGACAAATCGAGATAAGGATTGAAGATTATTCTCTTTGTCTCCTCAATAATGGAGAAGTTACTTCCATGAGCCTACAAGGACTTTTCATGCTCTTGATCTTGACATCTGTTCACCATCTCTTTTACCCTTTTGCACCTTTCACATTTGGGAATGATCTTTATAACAGTGATTATTTTTCTCTTTTAGTCTCTCTCGTATAAGAAGGTGTAAATCTATGTCAAAACCTCCTCGATTTATACTGGGAGAGGGCAGATTGGCATCACTCCTCATATCTTGCAGAGTTCACAGAAGAGATGGTAAAAGATGTGTGAATTCGATGGTGCAGTGAAAGCAGTTACTGATAAAATAAAATAATGCAGCCTCTATATTGATGACATCAGAAATGATACAAAAATATTCAAAACTATGGTGGAACCGTGAGTGTCAAGAAACCCTTAAAACAACAGAGAAAAGCTTGGGGAATTTTTCGTAGGTACCCCACTTTGTCAAACCTCATTGCCTTCAAAAAAGCGAAAGTTAAGTGCAAGAAAAGTACGACGAAAGAGCCAGAAGGATTCATGGATACACCAAGTGTCATCAATAACATCCTCTACTTCGAGTAAAAAGGTATGGGAGAGAGTTAGGAAAGGATGCAGTATGTATAATGATCACACACTTTCCATCTTGAAAAATGGTGGCCAGGTACTCTTAGCACTACACAAGAAATTACAAATGTTGTTGGGGAGACCTTTGCGGCTGTTTCTAGCAGCAGCAACTATCTGTCAGCATTTCTTTCTGTGAAGAAATACTCAGAGAGAGCTCGTGTATCCTTAAATTCTAGTAACTAAGCCTCATAGTAAAGATTTTACTATCCTTGATCTAAAGAGTCTTGTTTCAGACTCATGGGTCTAGTCTGGATCCAGATGGTGTCAGCTGTGGAAATGCTGAAGCGTCTTTCCTCTACGGCATTGTTCACCCTTCTCTCTCTTTACAATAGAGTGTGGAAGGAGTACTTTTTCCCAGTTTGTGGAAAAAAGCTGTTGTCATTCCCATAGCTAAACCAGGAAAGACCTGTAGAATCCCTCTAATTATTGGCCACATTTGTAAGTTGTTTGGAAAAATGGTGAATTGTCGCTTAGTCTACTACCTATAAAAAAAACAATGTAATCTCCCCATACCAAAGTGGTTTCCATAAAGGTAAATCTACGACTGACAATATTCTCATGTTGGAGACCTCCATTTGTCAAGGAATCACCTTGTGTCTGTGTGCTTTGACTTAGAGAAAGCGTATGACAAGGTCTGGAGGTATGGCATTTTACGAGATCTTCATGCCTGTGGCTTGCGTGAGAATTTACCGATTTTCATGCAAAATTTTTTTAGGGCTGGGACATTTCAAGTGAGGATTGGCTCTGTTTTTCTCAGATGTATTCGAACAAGAAGAGAGTTTGCCTCAGGGTTGCATTTTAAGTGTTACTTTATTTAGTTTAAAAATAAATGCTATTTTAAATTAACTTCCCCCTACTGTGTCATGTGGATCATATGTGGATGTCCTCTAAATAAATTGTCGTGATGCAGATATGAGATTTGTGGAGAGACAGTTGCAGATCACTCTTAACAAGATTGAGAAATGGTCAGAAAAACATAGGTATAACTTTTCAAAGCAAAAGACTGTCTGCAAAGCGAAATTTGCATCCCAAGCTGGAGCTTCACATTCAAAATTCATCGATTCCTGTCGTACCAGAAGTCAAGTTTTTAAGAGTGATGCTTGACTAAAAGTTGACCTTCATTCCCTATGTTCTGTACTTGAGGAAGAAGTATTTCAAAACACTAAATATTTTAAAAGTCTTGGCGAACACCTCCTGGGGTGCCGAGCGAGAATCAATGCATTGCATTTATAGAGCTCCTGTATGCTCTAGACTGGACTATAGTTTGACACGGTCTTCAATTTTTATTGAAGCTAGATCCTGTGCACCATCAGGCCTTGAAGATTTGTTCTGGAGCCTTCAGAATATCTCCAGCTCAAAGCCTGTATGTTGTCTCTTATGAATCACCACTCTTGTTAAGATGCGAGCAATTGTCCCTTCAATATCTTGTTTTATCTATATCTAGATGTTGTTGAAGGTTTATTATCTATCCATCCTTGTAAAGTTCTGCTTGATGACATGTGTGACCCCTTATTTGAAGCGCAACCCTCCTGTATTTCTACCTTCTCCTCATGGGTCTGTTCATTAGACAGACATGGAAACATTCCATGTCTGACTTAAATATCCAGCTAGTAAAGCATTTTGAAATACCACCTTGGGAAAATGTACAGATTCGCAGCCTTGATGTTTTCGTCCATCTGGATAAAAAAAAGCACTAATGAGATCATGTATCAACAACTTTCCTTAGAACATAGACAAAGGTGCATTACTTATATTCCTCTATATACAGATGGATCGAAAGCAATCTGTCATGTTGGAATGTTTTTCGTAATTGAAAATCATAAGGTGAGAAGATGGCTAAATGATAATTGTTCATTCCTGACATCTGAATTGACTGCAGTTTATTATAATGTTTTATCTATATCTAGATATTGTTGAAGGTTTATTATCTATTCTTACTCATTTAGTGCTCTGAAGGCTTTAGAAACATTCTCTGACACGCAGAATCCGCTTATAGTTGAAATTTTAAAGTTGAATAAAAACTTGAGTAGATTCAAAATTCCTTATTGCTGGGTTCCCGGACATGTAGGAATAAAAGGTAATGAGTTGGCAGATATTACAGCCAAAGCTGCTGTTGAGGAATCTAGTCAACTCATTCCTCTCAGAGATATCAGCAAGACCATCAAGCAGAAAATTTTAGATAAATGGCAAGAAATCTGGGATGCACAATTAAATAATAAGCTAAGAAGCATGAAGCCTAGAGTGCAATTTTGCGAAAGTACTCAACTGAAGAAGTACTCTTGACTTGTATTCGAATAGGCCACTCCCGAATCATGAACAATTATCTTCTCAAAGCAGAGAGTGAGCCAATTTGTCCCTGCTGTGATAACATTTTATCTGTGTGTCATTTTTTAATAGAGTGTCGGAATTTTAATAGACTAAGACTAAAGCATTTTAACAAGTGTGACTTGCCTCTTGACCATTTAATCGGAAAAGAGGCCAGTAATGATTTATTTCTATACCTGAAAGAAATGGGTTTTTATTATTTAATTTGATTTAGCTTTGAGTATAGTGTAATTTTAATGTGTTTCATATCTTTTGCTGAGTTTTAATTCCTATTCATATTAGTGTTCACCATTTTTTTATTTCATGTAGATTTTATAACTTCACTATTTGTTGTTTTATAAAGTTTATTTGGGATGAAAGCTATCTTTTTATAAGCTACCGTGTGTTTGGCGCATATAACCTTTCTGGTTATGCACCATTAACTCAACCACCACCACAATCAAATTATAGTAATAAACCTGAATTGTGTTATAAAGCAAATTTAAGTCAACTTGGAGTTAATAAGAAATTGTGGTACTGCACACGGTAAAAACCTACTGCAAAGTTTCAATTTTTCATCTTTCATAGTTGGCAGTTATGAAATTAACATCTGGTGCTTGTGACATTATATAGTGGGCATGCATTGTTCGTGTACAGGTTAGCTGATGGTATCTAACATCTTATGACAGTTGCTAATTCTCACAAAACTCCAGGTATCTAAAAATCTGGTTACGTTTAGCAACCTATTCAATATCAGTGTTAAATATGTATCACTGCAAATGATCACAGTTCGCCACTTTTGTGTGCCGAGTGTTTTTTCTGAGAAGTTTTGCCTAATAACACTTTACACTGCTTTTTATGTGTTTTTGCTCTGTCTTTATGTCTGTTCTATCTCCTTTGGGTATTGCCTGGTTGTGCTTTGTGAATATAGTTCATATCAGTGTTCTCTAACTTCCCTCAAAGTTTGTATCTGAGATACTCTGCATGTCTAGTCACATTTCAAAGTGTTCTTTTCATAAGCAAATGCATGTATAAATCAGTACAGTACAAAGTCTTTAATCCTGACTCGTCGGGACTTCAGCGATTCCGTATTAGGGTTTTTTCCGGATTATAGATCATCAATTTAAATTTGGTAGGATGGCATGCAGAAATTATAAAATAAAAAATATGAAACCATAATTTATGAAATAAAGAGCAATTATGATCTAAAGGGTATCAAAATTTACAAAAAAAAAAGCTTAATATTTATTTGTTTACTTTATTAAACATTTCTTTCAACGCGCGCATGCGTAAAGCATACATTACACATAGTCGAAATTATAAAATTGCAACCAGAAAACTATTTGATGTGTATTCATGATATTTATAATGACGAGGAATATGATTTAAATCATATCAAAGACGGAGTACATCGAGATGAAATACTACATTTAGTAAGGAGTTATAAGCTGAATAAAATAAAAACATCTGCTCTGAAGATGAGAATAGTGCTGACAGATCAACTTTCAGTTCATTGTGCGCTGCGACGTTTCCCCCCTGCAGAGCAGCATGAAATTGATAAACAGATTTTGGAATAGTTAATGCCTTTATCCATTTTTTGCAGCAATTCCACTTTTTATTTGATGGACATCAAAACAATGTTTCGCTTTGTAGATCCTTTGGCAGCTCCAGAATCCGAAACTCTTTTTGACATAATCGAAAGTTCAAACTTAATTTTTATAAAATTGTTCCAACAGTCTGCAAAAAATAATAAGCCGGATCCAATTAGAAGATTAAATAACAATGCAATCTGCAACATTAACTGAAATAGATAATTTTAGCCTAGCTTATACCGTCTGTTATACATTAAACACGCATGCGCAGAAAGTTTGTAGCTCTGAGGTCCGGATTATAGATCATTCTGTATTATGGACGTCCGGATTAAAGACTTTGTACTGTATTCATAAAATTTATGTAATCCTTTTTATTTCGTTTTATATGAAATAATGTTTAGTCTATATTTAATTTAAAGTCCTTAATTTCATATTAAATGTCTTTTTATGTATAGAGTTTCTTATTACGAGCTTGCATTGGATTCAGCACCAAAAGAAAAATTAAAAAGCTCTGGATTGACAGTATGTACTGGCACTGGCTCAACATCCTGGTCTTTTAATATCAATAAGGTCACAGAACAGTGTGTTAAACATCTCCTAAAAATTAGTAAGTGTTTTATTCATATTTTTGGAAATTTTAAGTCAGTATTTCTTTTCAGTGGCCAGTTTCAGTTTAGGTGGAATGTATTTTTATTAAATTTTACTTTGTAATTACCAAAAATTGTTAAGTTTTTAAAAATGTAAATTAAGCATTTGTAACTTTTTTTTTTTTTTTCTTTCTAGCCTCTCAAGAAACAAAACTAGATATTCCTGTCAGTGACTCTAAACTTATATCTCAGATTACCTCAAGGTTCAATAATTCTTTGATTTTTGATCCTACAAAAGAGCTAATGGCTTATACAATTAGAGATCCCATAGTTTTTGGTAAGAATTTTTTTTTGCACATTTGTTAACTGTGTATATATATATATATATTTTTTTTTTCTGAGGTGCAGAAATAAATGATAAACTTAGCATATTGATGCATGTAAATGTCTTCCAGTGTAATCTATGCACTAGATTCTTTGAAGACCTTTTTGTCCTGTGAAGTATTGTTTCTGTATGAGATATTAATAAGTAAATCATTGTTATATTATTTTATTCCATATATATGTTTACTAGAAAGCCCGGTGGTCATATGAAATGACCTCTGTTCTAGATATTACAAATTGTAATTAAAATGATTTATGCAAAGATGTCTGCTAATTCAAACTTAATTACCCAGAGCACGCGGTGAGAACGCCTTTTTGCTTACTGCCCCACGGGGTTCCCCCCTTCTACTTGCTTAATTGCTTAAAGTAGAGTGCAATGAAGGAAGCCACTGGTAGTACACTTCTTAAGAGCCACTACTAGCTCAATAAATAAAGGTGATTTGAATAAAAAAATGTTAATTCACATGTCGAATATCTCTTTGATATGTTTGTGCACATCATTTCTTGTGTAGATCTTTCCATCATTTTTAAGCTCACCTTGCAGAGGACCCTCAATTATTTTTAATTTTCATCCATTCTTTCACGAATTCTTGAACAGGCAACATAAAGTTCACCGTGTCCAAATGCAGGCTCAGTAAAAAAATGCCAACACTCTTAAGTGTTTGGCCCTGAGACTTACTGATAGTCATAGCAAAGGCAAGTTTTACAGGAAATTGTCTATGTCTAAATTGAAATGGCAACTTCACTGCATTGGCTAGTACAGTTACGCAAGCAACCAATAAACTATCTGCGACAAACAGACACTTAAGCCACATATGCATATATATATATATATATATGAAGTGAAGTAACATTATCTCCTCCGAAACAGCTGGCTCCCGAGCTTAGCGAAGCACGCTGGTGGTTTTCGCAGGTCCGTGGCACGCCATTTTGACCATTCGCGTTTTCTTGGGACTTGAATTAGCCAAGATATTAATTAAAACTAATTTTTCCCTACGTTTTCCACTTTGTTGGGTTTTCCCTATTAGAGGGATTTTGCTACGTGCCAAATTCTTTTTTTTTTTTTTTTTTTAACGGCATCGATGGAACTGCGCCGAGTTGAAATTCGAGATGCGTATCCTCGGATTCCAAAAAATTCTACGAATCCATCGATACCGTTCTCATCTTCGTACTACTTTAATCAGCCAAGATATTAATTAAAAACTGTGAAAACGTGGATTTCCGCACTCGTTTTTCCGAGTGGCAACAATAAACTATCGGCGACATACACTTAAGCCGCTTATATATAAGATAAAAGACTGACAAAATGCTATATTTTCGTTTACATTTATAGATTTGTCGAAGAATTTATTTTCCTAGATTCTTTAAATATGATTTATAAAATACCTTGACATTAAATTTTTAATCTTTGATACAAGTTTCTTATTTATTTATTTTATTTGTGTGTGTGTGTTGTCATTCAGAATTTTGCTGGACAGTTTCTTTACACTAGGCAGAATTACAAAGAATTTTTTATTGCTATGTAATATGTATGTGATTGATTATTTTACTGTATTTGATATTATTTTTTAACTTCATTAATGAATGCTTTTATGTATTGCTGCTTATCTGCATTTTTTAAACTTAAATTTTTAAAAGTGAACAAGTCCATTATGAATTGTAGATTTTGCTTTTTATACTGTATTATAACATACTACTAGTTATTAAATTGATAGTCTTCTCATTTTATACAGGAATGGGATTTAAGTGCAAGCCTCGTGGTTTTGTTAAAAGGTAACTGTATAGTTTGTATACTTTAATTTCGTTGAATTATAAATTTTGAATAATTTATTTTATGGGAAATTGCTCACCAAATTTCCTCTTTCCTGGAAAGTTATATTTGCATTAAAAAGAAGGAAACAGGTTAACACATTTTAAATTTTTTAGTGATAATTTTTTGAAATGAAGAATATTGTTATAAGACATACAAAAAGCACATTTAACTGTGGCTATTAGGCAACATTAGCATATATACACTGCTCGACATTGAAAATGCAACACCAAGAAGGAGTGGTCAGAAAGTGATGAAATGTGGAAAAAAGACAGAAAGCAGCAATAAGTGATCTTTATTTCAAAATTATAGTCAGAATACAGAGCGAGAACAGCGTCGGCTCGGTAGGACGTAGGACCACCGCAGACAGCGATGCACGAAGAAACATGTCTAGGCATAGAGTCAATAAGAGTACGGATGGTGTCCTGAGGGATGGCTCTCCATTCCCTTTCAACCATTTGCCACAGTTCGTCTTCTGAATGAGGCAGGGGCAGAGTCTGCAAACGCCGTCAATCACATTCCACACATGTTCGATTGGTGACAGGTCAGTAGAGTACGGTGGCCCGGGAAGCATCTGTATACCTTGCAGAGCATGTTGGCAGATGCGAGCACTGTATGGTCGAGCGTTATCCTGCTGAAAAATTGCATTAGGCAGCCCCTGAAGGTAGGGGATTGCCACCGGCCGCAGTACATTATCCAAGTATTGTTGGGCCGGCATAGTGCCCTGAATACGAACTAGAGGTGACCTGGAATTGTAGGTGACAGCGCCCAAAACTGTTATGCCGCGTTGCTGCGTGGTGGGGCGTTCCACAGTTATTGCCAGATTAGATCTGTCTCCACGTCGATGCCACACACGTATGCGGCAACTGTCACTGGATAAACAGATGTGTGACCCATCTGAGAACATGACGTTTTGCCATTCTGTCATTCACATCGCTCCGGTCTGGAACCATTCTGAACGTTGACGTCTCTGCTGTGGCGTCAATGGCAGACTTCTTAACGGACGCCGTGAGTGCAGGCCTCGTTCAACTAATCGATGGGAAATGGTTCTGGTCGAGACAGGAACATCCAGGGTATCTTGCACATGCTGCAGAATCGTGGCACAAGTGACTCGCGGGACCGCCACAGCTTGTCGGCCGATGCATCGATCCACGTCTGCTGACGTCACTCTGGCTGCACCTGCACCCCTCCTTCTTCCCGCATTTCTTTATTCCAACCATGTTCGCCATAGCTGATGCACCGTGCTCGCATCCATGTGGGTATCAGCTGCGATTTGGCGTAAGGACCAACCCGCCCTTCTCAGTCTGATCAACATACCCCTCGTAAAATCGTCTATCTGTGCTGGAAGTGCCTTTGTTGATGGCGGCCTGGCATTCTCTCCTATTACACGTATCCTCCGGGACAAAAACCAACTTTCATCGATAATTTGTCTGGCAGAAATAACGACGAATATTGGCCATTCTGTATGTTCCTTCCCTTATATCTTACTTCACGTGCATCAGAGAGCTGCACATTTCACCTCATTTGCATAACTCAGTGACGTGCATCTACTCTAAAATTTGCATAAATTTCTGACCCCTGCTTTTTGGTGTTGCATTTTCAATGTCGAGCAGTGTATATTTCTGTAAAAAATGTTTTATGTGTATTGTCCTATAGCTAGAAAAATTCTATATTTTATCATTTCTGTGATGAATTTTTAACAAAATTTAAATTTATATGCTTCTTGGATACCAGATTTTATTGAAGGAATCTGGATTTCTAACTGCTATATATATCCATGTATAAACTGAGAATTTTTGGAATGTTTTCCAATACTAAATTTCATTGGTCATCTTACATAATCTCACAAAAAGCATAGGTACTTTTCCATTAGTTGTGCACAAACTAATGTATCCTGTCTGCTAGCACACTATTAGAACTCGAGGAATACATAAGTAGCACTATGATTACCACTAACAGCAATATTATAAAAGATATAATTGGAGTACTGGTTGTTTAAGTGTTGCATGAGTGACGAGATAGATGCACATAATGTTTTTTAATTCCTGGTTCATTCATTTATTGATTACAGAAGCCTGTATGGTTATATTTAACTTTTGATAATTGATTCTTATGTACTTTTTGCACTGGATCCAGAAAAGTCGAGTTTTTTCGCAAATAACAAATTAAAAAATTGTTAAAAGTAAAAAAAAAAAAAAGTGAAAATATAACAGATATTTAATACTGTAATGTAAATTATGCATGTTTTTAAAATGGATGTAAGACTTTTTTTCATATAATTTATTCATATTTTGGCTAAGCATTCTTGTGCATGATGTACGTGGACTTTTGAATCAATTTAACATCCTGCACAAAAATACTGACTGGAAACTGTTCATAGACTTGTCCAAAAGAAGCCTCAAAGTTTTCTACAGTAGGAATAGTTATGCATCAATATTTGTTGGACATTCTGTCTATTTGTGAGCATTAGGAAAATTTGGAATTCATTCTCAATAAAAATAAATGTGTCAATAAGTGGATTATGTACATTGACCTCGAAATAATATCAATGTTCGTACCCTAACAAGGAGTAAACACAGTTTCTTTGTTCTTTGTGTGGATGTGATTGCAGAGACAGAAGATCATTGGAAAAGAAAGATTGGCCAAAAGGGCTTCATTAAAACTGGAACCAAAAATCTGAAAAGCTAACACAGAAACAGATAAGACTCTCCTTCCATATTTGCATATCAACTTAAGCTTGATGAAGCAATTTATTAAAAACTTACAGAAAGAAGGTCAGTATTTAAAATACGCCTGTGACAAATTTGCAGCCTTTCCAACCAACAAACTTCGTTACAATTAGAATCTTCTGAAAGATAGTAATTTTGAGAAGCAAATGAAAGTTTCAGAAAAAGAAGCTTGGGGAGACTTTAAAAACACAGTAATCAAGTTTCTGGGATCCAAACTTTAATAAAGGAAAGAAAATAGGACAGATCCAAACTTTAAATCAAATGTTGAGAACATGCTGTAGAAATACAAAAATTTATGCTCTTCCGTGATCTTAAGGTTCATTTCGTAAATTCACATCTGGACAATTTTCCTGAGACTCTGGGTGCCATTAATCAAGAAATGGGTGAGAGATTTCAAATGGAAAAAATTTATCAAGGAAAATGGACCATTTTGATGATAGCTAACTATTTCTGGATGCTACACTGAGATAATCCCCATCAAGAATATAAAAGGAAAATTGCAAAGTAAAGAATGAACAGTCCATGGAAACTTTGATGCATGGACATAAAATTGTGTATTTTATGTACTTTGTTTTTGTATAAGTTTAGGGGAAAAATTCTAAGAAAAATGTTTTAAGCCTCTTACTATCACAGTTTTTTAACTTTTTACAAATTTTGAAAGTTGCAACTTCTGAAAAATGCTGATGTGTTGGGGGAAAAAATGAATGTCACTTTTTGATTCAATGCTACAAAATACATAGGAATCACCAAAAGTTAAAAAACATGGTATAATCCAAATTTTTAGGCTTGTGTTATGGTATGTGTAATGCTTTTAAAAACACAGTATTTTGAAATCCAGTCTATCATTTGTTATAGCCTTATATTTCTGGAAGGTAGTTTGATAAGCAATAGGTCTCTGCAATCATCCTAAACAATCAATAACAATTTCCAGTTTATTGACAAACACATGAAAAATAAAAAAAACAAAAACTAGAATAGATAAATTTTTATTCATTATTAATGTAATTAAGAAGTTAATAAATTTTAATGTAAGATCCCTTTGTTGCTGTTTGCAAATCATAACTTTCCTGCAAGCTATTGACAAGTATCTGAGGAGTTAATAGCGGAAGTAGCAACCATGATACTTTGTTTCAGTTTCTGCAAATTAGTGCAAGATGGCTGCTGGGCATGATTTTAAAAGAACCGAAATAGGTAAACCCAGTGGTGTAGCTGGGGAGAATGGAAAGGCGATGGAATAACAAAATGACCAGTTTATCTGTAGAGAAGTTATTCATTTGTGCAGTTGTGTACACACTTTGAGAAATGTATAAGTGTGTGCCAGAGTTCTAACATACCCAGGGAAACATCATCACTTAAGCTTTTTTGGGGGGGGGGTAGAAAATGAAAAGATTATTGACTTTGTTTTTGGATAGGGAATGCTATACATTAACTTTTGCAGAATCATGCTGCAGTTCATTTGGAGTATGCACTGATTCTCTGCCCATATTTAACAGCTGCTGATGGTTCATAGTATTTATCTTATTTTCATTTTGAAATAAGTGGTTCCCCCTCCTATTCTTATTCTGATTTTTATATTCTTATTTTATAAAATTTGCTTTCCTTCACTATTCTAATTTTTTTCAAGCATATTCTTTCTGATTTTTGACTTGTAAATGCTTCCTTACTTTCTATTATAATTTTTATAATTTTTCATGAAAGATTAAAGGTATGACCAACAGCAGTTTTATAGAGTTTGTTAAACTTTTCAATGCATCTGACTTATGTGCATGTGTTGATACTGTAAAATAATATATAGTTCACTTATTTATTTTCAGGATTGAAGTTAAATCTCGCATGTTTGATGCCTGCCTTGTTATAGATGGAGGCCTTTCATTTGCATTCAATGATGGCTCTACTGCACTTTTAGATATAAATGAAGATGATGCACTGCGCACTCTGACATTACCAGATTAGCTGAAATTAATATATGCGAGGATTTAGTTTTTTATACCTGTAATTTTCTGCCATTAAAATCCTTTGAGATCTGATATGTGCCTTATAAATAGATGAAATCATTGGAGGCAGTGCCAACAAAGGATTTGGTATTAGTAAAAATTAGAATTTTGTACTGTTATAAAAAAATTTGGGTAAATGATTGGCATAATTCTGCTGTAGCCATGCATTCTTTTTTTTTTTTTTTTTTGTATGATAAAATTGCGGTTTGTACTGCAGTCAACTAGTATATTTAAGGAACGGATTTAAGTATGTAAATATATGAATGTGAAAGAGTAAATTATTTTACAATGCTTAATGTTTTAAGTGTGCCATTTATCTTGAAATTTGAATGCATTCATTGGCAAATGAAATGGTACTGGATCCTAAATCTATGATTTCAGAGTTTATTAATCAAAATTAATCATCAGAAATGTTTCAATGAAATTATTTTCATTATTGTATGATTTGAAAAATGAAATTGGAAAGATACTATGTATCAAACCTCAGATATGTATATTTTTGCAAATAATGTTTTGTTCTTAATCTAAAATGACTCAGTAATAAATAGCTTTTCATTTATTGTGCTTATGCTTACCCAAGAAAAGTGGACAATTAATTTTGGCACTTTTATATTCTAGTTATTTTAGAAACATAATTGATTTCTATGTTTGAGAGCATATTCTCATTGTTAAAAATTTTTTATCAGTTTCATTCATTTTACATTATATCATTTAGGTGTTTCAAAATCTGATGTTCTGCATTAAGTAAATATTCAGTGAAGTGAACAAAAATGAATATGTTTTTTGAAATGTTTGATTGCTTCTACTCGAAATTTGAATTTGTTTAATGTATGATAGATAGTTTATTAAAAATGTTGATTGCTTGTTATTATGAAAAGTTTTTAATTAAATTATTTTATAGAATCTTGCAAATAATTACCTTATTACTAATTACTGTGCAATAATTTTCTGTAAAAAGGCATCTAGTTTAGTTAAAAACACTATTGGGAAATATACCTCATGCAAGCTATTCTTTATTTGTTAAATTATGTGCCAATGCAAATTTTTAAATAGTTTCATTTACATAACTGTTTTTCAGTGTCTTGTTGACTTTCCCTCTTTTTAATTCCCCAATCCATTTGTAATAAAATTAAAAAAGTAGGTTTTTTTTTTTTTTTTTGTGTATGTGTGTGTGTGTGTTTGTGTGAACCATGGCAAAAGTTTGGTTTGGGGTTTTATTTTAAATTATCTTTTCTTGCAAATTATTCTAGCAAAAATTGCATAAGCATTGAGGTACTATTTTTATGTTTGGATGTAATAATATATACAATAAAATAATGATATTCTAAATATATCTATCAAAAATTCTAAATGCTGTTTCCATTTTCTGTAATTTAGATTTTTGTATAATTGTTAAAATACAAATATACAGAAGATGTTAATCATCAGTTTGGTCTTTTAGAAGCACTTAAAATATTCGTGTTACTATTTCTGCATGCAAGTTAAGGGTAGATTTTAATGCATTTTTATATAACTAATAAGCAAATTTTACATGTTCTCTTAGAGATTTGTTCGAATTAATTCTGATTTATAAATTTAAATTTTTAAAATTGCTTTGTTTTATTTTATTTATCTCAGATGTGTTTTATGCTAAAATTGGTATTTCTTCCTTTATATTGATAGCTGCATTTAAATGTCATTTGTATATATGTTTAATGTAATATAGAGTTAAAATGCATTTTGCATCAATAGTTTTGTGATAAATATTTAATGTTGCAGTTATTACTGCAGAATCCTGAAAAATCTGCATATCTCGAGAGGGTAGTACAGATTAGTAAATTTTATGGGCTACATGTCATGTGTTTACATTTGTCCAGCAATTAGTCCCTTTCTAGTTTTTATATTAAGTCTGAATTTTTGCTAAGTGATTACCCGAAACACATATTTCAAGAACTGTTCAATCATGATTCATTGGATACTAAACATTCATTGGATATAAGTCTTTAAATGATAATTGCATGCAAGGCCAACTTCAGCATAAAGGAAAAACACTGAGAGATATTGTCTTTTTATCACAGGAAAAAACTTCTCACAGAATATTTACAGTTGTGTGTTGCTGTAAAAATGAGCCTAACCCATTTTTGGTTAGAGGTGTCTTGAAATAACGCATTTAATTTTGCCATCGTGTTGCACTTTCAGTGATATACACTTTTTGATTTAAATGAGATGTGTGTTATAACATTATTTGTCTTTTATGAGGCTAACATTTGCCAAAAACAAAATAATAGAATCTTCATTCGAGTTATCCTTATTTGAAATGATTAAATTATGCTTATTTGAAGTTATCTCTATTTGAAGGCCTTGAAGTTAAGAAGTCAACACCTTCAGTAGAGTAGTTTTTTTGATAGTAGTAGTTCTTATGCTCTTGATCAAAGTGGTTCTTATGATAGGCAATGAAATATGGAAAATTTTTTAGGAGGAAAAACTTTAAGGTCTTATTTAAAGCAGAATGTTTGGGAAAACTCACAGTTTGTGTTTATGAAAATATAGTGCTGACGTGGGCACATATTTGGTTTAGTTCTTTGACTATGGCAAAGCATAGAAGGTTTACCTGTCCAGGGATGTGCCCTCGTGAAGGACTTTCTAAGAAAAACTAGTTTATATCCATGCTACAAAGGGGCAAAACCATGTGGTCGGCCCATTCACCTAGGGTGAACTGTTGTATTTAGTAGTTTTTTAAACTGCTTAGCAATAGTGGGGCTAACACAGGCACTGAAATTGCTAAATAACGTTAACAATGAAATAAATTCACATTTTCAATCAAAATATATTATAAGTATATATATATATATATATAATTTATCAAGCAAAGTAGTAATTATAATTTAAAAAAAAACCAATTTTGGTCTAGAAAACATCTTGCGCAATATGCTGCAAAATAAGTAAAATATAAAAATTGTAGTAAGCTCGCCTAAAAGTTACCAAGAGCTGCTGCTCCAAAAGGTTCAACACATTTTAAAAAATTAATACATATGAAAATCAAACCATTAGACATGTAAAACATTAAAAAACAGAAAAAGATAAAAAGTAAGCGGAAAATGGTAAATTAGCCCAATTCGACTTCCAAACAGGCTTTTCAAGGGAAATTTCATTTATTTGAACGTCGAATCAAGCTAACCCCATTACGCGTTTCGCGGAAACAGACAATTGAAACTTTTTCGCTAAAAATTTTTTTAAAATTAAGACAAAGTGTCTTGGAAATTTTAATAGTCTCAATTCTCTGTTCCAATTTCCCGACGCGTCCCCACAGAATGACACATTAAGGTGTTAAAATATGTTAAACAATACCTAAACTTCCTAAATCTAGACTAAAATCAAAATTAAAATCAAAATAAAAACGAAAATAAATAGTGATGAGCTATTAGTTCTAAAAATACAAAAACATACGGGCTGGGCCTGCAAGCTTAAAGATTAACAATTTAATTTTTAAATTATAGATTTTAGAAAACTGTAATGAAAATCTGTAATTAAAATAAAATAAAACAAAAATTAAGAAGAGAACAAACTAAGTGGGTCTTGCTAAGACCAAGAACTATATATATATATATATATATTGATTAGAAGTTTTATTTACATATATGTAAGAAAAATCTTTATAAATTTAATATGTTAGTTTCTGATTCCCCCCCCCCTTCAAAATTGAGTGTGGGTTGCAGGTTTTTGCAGATTAAGTGGTTAGGAATTATCAGGATTCTGCTGTATTGTGAAATTACTCTGCAATATAAAATGTTTTTCGTTGTTATTCTGGTCAAATTAAAGTACGGGCTGTAAAAATTTAGTAACAGTAGTGTAGTTGATTCAGTAAATAATGATCAGAGAAGATGCTGAATTTAGCATAGCTGTGCATGTATTCATTCACATTTTTCTTAACAAGAAAATAGGTAATTTTATGTATCTGTTACAATTGAATTTAAGGAATTCAGCGATTTCAGATTTTTAATCATCAATTTAAATCTAGTAAGATGACATGTAGAAATTATATGTATAAAAGAATTCTTTATTAATATTTCTTTAAGAAAGTGGTATCTGGCATAAAGAAGGAATTTTCCGGTATCATAACCTTTTGAAATTAAAAGTGTGACAAGAAATCAAAATGGCAATATTTTCTGGATTTAAAACCAAACATCAATATCTGCTGTTCCATTAATTGATTGAGGCATTATCATCACAACATAAGACTTCAGTTATATCACCTTCGTTTAGCATCTTTCTTATTTTCATTACCTTTTAGAAATCTTTATCCCCCCCTTTTTTTTTCAATGTCAGAAAATTTTTAAATTCAGGGCTTTCATCATCATGAAACCTGGTAGCTGATTTCAAATTAGGCCAAGCATTTTTTAAATATCTGTCCCCTCATAATCTTGCAATGCCCCAACAGATTTTGTATTAAAATATGTCTAGAATTCTTGGATGGTTTTACTTCAGCATCAGTTTTTAAAATGCTATTTTATATTTGAATTTCAGTGCATGCAAAATTCTGCTATTCATTGATTGATTGACAGATGTACAATTTTGGGGAAAAGAGAAAAACTGAGATGATGTATGATTTACTTAAAGCACAATTTTGATGAAATTTATAATAGAAGGAGCAAATTAATAATCTTCAAATTAGAAAATTAAGGGAAGAGTATAATTTTCTATGTTATATGAACTTACGTTCCTCGAAATCTAATTCTTTCTCCTTTTTCTGGCTGCTATGCCAACGGAAGAAAACCAGTTATGAGCAATATCCACTCCAAATTAGGACTTTACTTGTTGTTTAGGTAAGATAGAAAAATGCTAATATCCACAGCTACTCAAAGGCTCAAGGCTAAGGTAGCAATGATCAATCAGTGTATTGTGGCTAATATCACTGGCCATGATATATTCTCTAGCCAGCTGGTGTTTGAAAGTGGCATACGGGAATCTCAGTGGGGAAGAAAATTGGTTTTATGGCACACATGTTTTTTCTTGATTCTTAGATTTTTTATAGATAAGGGAAAAAAAATTGGTGCTTGTGGTTCAGATTTCAGACTTTGTACGATATATACTAACACACACACACCTCTGAAAGTGACTAGTATTATGAAAATTGTAAATTAATTTTAGTAATAAACATTACCTTTTTAATATGACTGCATCTACAGAAGTCCAAATTCATCTAGAAGCATCTGTGATCATTTCAGGAAGGAATCACTGTGTGTATATTCCTAAGTTAAAAAATGTATAGAAAAAGCATGTAATTTAAGTTATAATATTGAATTGGCTGAGAGAAGGTATTAGCATGTTCTCCTAAGGAGAAATGTATAAAGCAGTATAATTCAGGAAAGGGAAGTGTGTTGTAATGCAAAAGGAGTTGCAGTGCCTTTGGACCATTCAGTACTATATCATATTTTCAATAAAGAGCAGTTGAGCAAAGAAGCTTGGGTTGTTGTGATCAAAAATAGGTTCTTGTCATGTTGCAATGATTTTATTTGGCAGACTTCTCTCTCTCTTTTTTTTTTTTTTTTTTTTTTTTTTTACCTTGCTGTACTCCTTTATAAAAATGGCCTTGTGAAGCCAATATTTTCTGATAATTCAAGCTATCCAAAAACAACATGATAATCAATCTGTTACAAATGGCAAAAGAGGCATTCTTCCAATGCTTCCAAGAAAATCAAAGTTGCTGGAGCAAGTATGTGTGTTCTGATGGATGTTACTTTGGAGGTGACTAAGTAATAATATTTTTACATTCTAAATAGAACTGTTTGTACAAGGATTTGTTTGCAGGCATTTAGGAGTATATACTATGCATATATATATTTATTTTTAGGTATGTATGAAATTAGCAGTATTGTAATTAATGAATTTATGAGCTAAAATGTCTGATATTTAGTTATTTATCATTGTAACTTTGATAAATAGAAAATAAAAAGTATTCATTTTTAGGCAACACACAGATAGCTTTACTGAGGTACATAATAATCACATTAGAAACATTTCATGAATTATGGTCATGGTGCAGATGTTTAGAATATTTATGAATTATGAGTATTATAAATCATATGAATAAAATGGTTTTGTAAATTACATTAGTATGAGATTTTGTTTAAGAAATGAAGGTATAGGTTTTTAAAGTATATATTGCTTTTAATTATGCTGTAATTCCACTTGTATATCAATTAGTTCCCTGGAAATAATTATTGGATATTATTCAAGGGCATCAATTATTTTCAGGAATATGTTTACTTAATTGGGGACACTGGGAGAAAGGTCTGCTTTGCAAAAGTCTTGTCTGTATCTAATTAGATAAAAGCTGTTTCATGAGCTAAGCTCATTAATTCATACATATATTATAGTGTGTACCCTGAATGTGAGCTAGACCATCAAAAGCTTAAGCAAATAATTGTTTTAATATAAAATAAAAATTTTAATGTAATTGGGACAAGCCATGCGAATGATAATGCCTTGATAGTATAGCATAACAATGGCCAAAAAAGAATAAACTAACCTATTAGATGTTTCTAATATCAAAATGTTTGCATGATGACTAAAAAATATAACTTTGTTATTTTATTGCATGCGTTATGCAGTTTCTTTTTTCCTAGGTGTAGACAGGGGGGGGGGGGTTGTGGATGCTTAGCAATCTTTAATTGAAAACTATGCAACTTTTACTTTAATATTAATTTTTATTTATTTCCATATGTCCCTTATTTGAAAGAATGTTATGTATCATTTAATGTAAATATCTTTCATGTGTATTCTTAAAACAATTTTAATAATTTGCACTCTTATAGCAAATAATTAAAATTCCATCTTTTAACGTAAATTTTAGCTATATTAGATGTACAAAATTATAGGATGAATTGCTATGTATTAAATATTTATCATTTCTCATGTTTTATGAAGCATTAATGTATCTGAATTTGTTATAAAAATAACTGAAAATGCATTTCTGTGCATGAATTTTATTTACATTATGTTTTTGTATGTATGATGAAAGTGCATGACATATATTATAAAACACCAATTTTCACTATGAAGTATTGACATGTTTTTTAATTTGTACATCATGTATAAAAGTGTATACATACATTCTAAAAGATGTCTTATTTTTTAATACTGTACAAATATTGTGATAAATTATTTAATAAAAATGATGAAATTATTTCATAATGTACTTTTTGTCTTTGTGTTTAAATATGGATTAAAAAGACCTAATATAAATGTTTTTTAAAAGTAGCACACAGTAAAAAAGTCTAGTTTAAACATAATATTTATTGTAACACCATAGAACTTATACATGCGCTATTATGAATTTCAAGAACTGGAACTTTAGTTTACTATAACAGGTCTGATATAAACAATGAATTATCACAAAAATGTATAAAAATTAAATGGAGGGAAAAAACTTTTACATCTAAAAGAAGTGAATAATAAATCTAATTAAAAATATTGAGATTTAATTCAATTGTTATTACTTGTAATTATTTTAAATTTGTTGGTTGTTCTTTCCAGTTTCACTATACATTAATAATTTTCTATAAATTACTTGGCATAAATATCAATTTTCTGATTCTTTCCTCAAATTACTCATTTTTTATTATGAGTTATTATTTTGTCCATAATAATAGAAAAGCATTAAAAATGATTAACAAAAAATATTGACAAATTTACCTTTAAGTTCTGACTATAAAAAGGCCATAATCTGTAGAGCACTTACACTTAAACTAAAACCAAAAAAGTATGGCTTCTCTAGAAGATGAAGCACTTGTATAAATCTGAATAATTTACTTCTTTCCCTAAACAGTGAATATTTCTAGATTCCAACTATACCATCAGATTGGAATAAACCTCAGACACAGAATTTGGATATGATTGGAGAACCCAATCATGTTCC